CAGGCTCCTTGTAAAATATCAACAGAATGAGACAAGCAATGAAGACGAGCGCTATTGCGAACGAATTAGTACATTTTCAAGACAAAAATTTCAACACCCCTTACGCAGGTTGATCCAAAAAGCGAACCTCCAGGTCAGACGGGAGTCGACGAAGAGACCACCAATAGGGGGCCCAGCTGCTCCCGCTAATGCATATACACTAGCAATAAGGGCCAAAAACATTGGCCGTTTCTGTTGCGGAGCAAGGTCGGCTACGATGTTCAAGCCGCCGGACATGATTCCCGCTCCACCCATTCCCTGGATAGACCGGCTCACAATCAGCGCGCTGGAGGAAGGAGCTACCGCGCAGGCAATTGACCCAATGCCAAATATGACCAGTGCAGCGCTCAATGTCCATTTCAAACTGAACTGAGTATAAATGGTCCCGTATGTGGGCTGGAGAGCCATAACTGCAACCGAATAGGCGGCGCCATACCAACCGATGTCATGTAAACTGTTGTATGTGCTGGCAATTCGTGGTACAGCAGTTGCTGCGGAAGATCAGTTAGTGGGCTGTTGGAGTCGCCGCTTCGCCATTTGTCGCAGCAACAGCAACGTAGAGCTTACTCACCTATGATGTTGACATCAATTGCCACGAGTAAAACAGACACCATGATGGCGATAGTGATGGCGACTAATCGAAAACCTCGTATGTACATCTTTTGTTCCGAAAGTGCGGGTTCTTCAAGATTGTTAAGATCATTTTGTGGCAGTCCTGTGAGAGTGTCCGTCGTAGGGCCATCTGCTTGTTTCACTTCAGACTCTTTCTCTGGATCTCTTTGATCCATGCCTTCAGATTTTAGTGAGTCGTTTAATACTAATCGAGAATTTCAAAATAAAAAGTACATATGCTAAAGGGATGTGTTTCAAACTCGCAAAGACTGTTTCTTTAACTACCAGACTTACCTAGTAGAAACGCAACAGCGCCCTTGGCACTTTGTAGCGCCCTCTTTGCCATGTACAATCTTTAACCGGAATATTCAAAATTTTGCAAAATTTTTGTATAGATCGCTGACTTCTTTACGAACAATTCGAGTCCAAAATATTTCGTTCCAATGCCAGAAATGGAAAAATTACATAGATTAGCCTAATGAGAAGGGCGGTGTCACCTCCAATTGTGTCCCGCCCTTTTTATCTCGAGTGTACACCGTCTTATCTTTGCATAACCGAAAACCCATCCTTTTGATTTCTAAGATACAATCGGTGAGCATATCATCGGTATGCGGTAAGGCCCTACAGCTCGTACACTCCTCCGACAGACATTCTGTGCTTTCAACAACTGCCAGATCTAAGTGTTCGCCATTCATAATGCAGGTTTTATGTTTACAAAATTCCAGGTTTCAAGGTATTGCACCTTCAAGTCAAAGTACGGATTCTATCTTGTGAGCTTATGCAGTTCATTATATATCCTATCATGTTTTGTCATCACTCGGAGTCCTACCGAACTATCTACTACCCATCTATCGTCTCAATTTATATCTCCAACATTTCTCTAGCCCCCAAATAAAAAAAAAATGAAAACAATTATAAAAATAAAAAAGGCGTCATACTATACAGCAGTACTCACAATCACACTCAACGTGTGTAGCTCCTCCCTATCGCAATTTGGTATAACCAGCTCCGTTCCATTGAACCCCGTATCACGCAATACCTCATCCCACTGCTGGACATCTAAGCACGGGGTAAGCTGTCGCGTTTCCTCCTCGCCTAACCACCATCCTGAAAGTGTGCCGAAAATGAACGATATATCGAGCGCTTCGCGCGTTCCTTCGACCATTACGACCTAAAAAGAGAAAACAAAGTCAGTAAAGTTCATGAAAGGTTGTTTTAATACGCCACACCATTTTAATATGCGACGTCATATAAATTCTCATTGTATTTTGGGTAATGGAATACGTACCTTTCCACCGGGCTTGAGTAGCTCGCGTGTGTGCTGCATAGTGCGCGTCATGTTCTTCGTGGCGTGCAAACACTGGCTTGCGATGATGAGGTCGTAACTCCCAGGCGTGAAGTTCTGCTTCGATGGCAGTGTTTCCATGTCTAGTTTCTGGAACGTTGGTATAGGGACGAAGTCTTTGAAGCGCGCTTTTGCTTCTTTGAAGAAGCCCGTTGAGATGTCAGTGTATGTGTAGTGAACATGGTCTTCTACTGAGCCTTTTGATTCCCCATATGCCTTGATAGCGCGGAAAGCAGCGCGAGTGGTGCCACCAGTCCCGGCACCGACCTCGAGGATGTTTAGTTTATAAAATTTTCGACGGCGAGATCTTAAGTGTGGGGCTCTAAAGGAGCCCTACACTTAAGATTAAGACAAAGAAAATTATAATATAATCTAGAAAAATAAAATATAGAAAATAAGTTACTAACATCTATATAGTATTATAATAGTTTCTAAAGCTCTACCTACTACTCTACCTACTATTTTACTTACTACTAAAGCACTTAGAAGCAGAGAATAATAACTAATCGCGTGGAGAAATTTCACAATTACAAAGCCTATGTACCTATTATTTTGCTCGCTACGTAGTAATACTCCCTAAGTAGTAAAGGATAGTATATATTTATTAATTACAAAGATGTAGTTATAGTTAATATAAAGTAAATGATTTTTTTTTTACATTTTGGTAAGATCTTCCCCAAATCGACTCTTCTCAGCCCTACTCCACCCTACTCTACTCTACTGAAGTCGTATCCCCCAAAGGGCTGCTCTTCGATGAATTTGTTCATGGCTGTCGATCTCTGGTATCTGGGATGATATGTAACAAATAGGTACATATCTAAAAGAGTGCCAAGGGATTGATTGCATCAGCAGGAAGTGACTGGATAACATCCCAGTGCTCCATGATACAGCTGCCATTGAACCGGTAAACATCGACGACAGCAGTGAGGGGCGAGCCGGGAGCGATGTTTTTGTAGTGAACCCAGGCAATGTTGTTCTGAAGAGCCGTATGAACGATCTCAAAAGTGGAATTTCCTCCTCCTCCAGAGCCAAAAGCATCAAGAAAAGATTGACGTCCGCTTAAGACGTATGGATTGTGCTGAATGTAGTCGACGTCTAGGAAGGTGGCTGTTTTTGTGATGTTTCCCTCGATGAGGAAGGTCTGGAGAAAATCCTGAAAGATCTTCGCTTGTTTCTGAGAGCTGACAGGTGATGGCGGACAATTTTGGACTGGTTGTGCCTGATAGGCGACAGGCAATTTAGGAGTCGCTGTAGCGTCGGTTTGGCATGTAAAAACAGCAGTAAGGAATGCAATCGCGGAAGTACGGAAAGTAACCATGGTGTGTTTTTGGAATGTGTTAACGATAAGTGATAAGTCGAAGATAAGGATCGTAAGGCTTAAGTCTTTCTCTTAGTTTGGAATTGATGTTTGTTACAAAGAAAAGCTCGATGTCTGAAAGTAGGTAAATGATAGGTATTGCAAACAAGTCTGTAAGCTGTAAGACGTGGCTAGAGGCAAGGCGGATCCGGACTAATATACTTGCTAGAAGGCTAAAGGGCTAACTCTGTTGGAGAAGAGGTCGCTATGCCATCCCATAACACGGCTGTTAAAAATAATACTACCGTAGAAATTCGCAATTAACGGGCGAGCCGTCGCTCTTGGCAGAAGAGAGTACAATGATATTCTCTTCTGCCAAGAACGACGGCTCGTCAGTTATTTGCGAATTTCTACGGTAGATAGTATTATTACTTGGCAGGTTTGCATAGCCACCCGCAGTACAGAGCATTAAGGGGTCCGAAGCATTAAAGCAAGTTCCGAGACCTGGATGACTAAGCGGAAGACTACGTAGTCCCTTGTGACCTTACTTTCCACTTCATGGCTGTCTCTGACGCAAGCTCAATCGGCACAGCCAAGCCCTCCCGGCCTCACCTTTCTCTACTCTTTAAACTGCACCCTTGCACCGGCAATTAATTATGGCGCCACTCCTCGATTGCAGCTCTTGTCGCAATTTAAACACTTTCACCCTCGCATTGTTGAGATACTGAAGTAGGTCCGACGTAATACCATATCAACTAGCTGGTCTGGCAAGGCTGACATTTACCAAGGCTTGCTGATGATGTGAAGGCTTGGCCGCTTCGATTCGATGACCCTCTGCCACAATACACTCGGGGCAGATTGATGCTTATAGGAGACGCAGCGCATACTGTATAGTGCCGCTCCCAACTCAAGAAGGAAATATGCTCACCGTGACCAGATGCTTCCCTTTAGTGGTCAAGGAGCCAATCTAGCCATCGAAGAGTCGCAATTACTAGGAGAGTTTTTCAAAAATGCCAGTACGGCCGAGGTACCTGCTGAAGTTCGGCGATTTGAAGCGACGAGAAGGAAGCGCATAGTCACGATCAAACTTCTCTCGCGAATTCGTTTCGGCAAAGAGAACGATGCCGCATACCGTCTTCTCGAACACGACGAATTGGATAGTGCAGGTGAGTCAAATAGTAGACAGGCCGATGGGATGCGCTTTGACGGTACAATAGAGATTCCACGTTCTTTCCATGAACGTCTGCTTTTTGAGTGGAAGTATGATAACAGTATGATATGACATGGTAGTTCGCCACTGATGTCTGAACTAGAAATGATTCATACGGCGAGGTAGAGAAACTAGAGATTGATTGATTGATTGATATTTGTTTAACGTCTCTTTGAACCTCCCGAAGGGTATTGGACGGGCTAAGCTATATATGTACATAGATGCCTCTCTTGGGTAAAGATTCCTCATGGCCCTACCCACCGCCGGTTGTGGATATAAGGATAATTAGCGCATATCTTTCTTAAAAGAAGATAGATTTCTCCTAGGGAAAGAAGGAACTAACGTTAACCCCCTTTCTAGAGGATAGATAGATCTTTTTAAAAGAAAGAAGGTTTAGTTTAGGGCTCACCTAAGTATCCTAATTAGGTAGCCTTGGTCCCACACTCACGTTCGCGGCGCCTAAGAATATTCCTAGGTGAGAAGAGGTGAATGGGGTGCGATTGCTGCTGGATTCGAACTAACGTAGGATAGGTGTTTAGGTACACACACATCCTAATGCCAGGTGCTTGACCACTGCACCAAGCAACCAGAGAAACTGGAGAAAAAGTATGATTAGCGGGATAATTCCAAAGTCCAGTTTATGCCAAGCACCACACAGCGAGGGCCCACTTCCTCAGATTCATCATCAAAGAGTAGAGCGAATCAACGTGGCTCGCTTTACAGGCTTTGGGTCGGACAAAAGTGTGAAGCTTTAATGAATGGCTTAATTCGACTATGTGCTGCAATACGAGAAATTAAAGTACAATCCCCAGCAGTTGAGAGGTATATAGATAAGAGAAATCGCCCTTGAAACCTCCAATGGCATATTCCAGATACAACAAAAGCCAATAATCCCATACCTCCTACGAGGAAAAAGAGATTTGACTGGGAAATAGGCCAGTGCAGCCATAATGCTTGAGTACAACTCTATATTCAAAGAATCGATGGGCTCATCGCATATATCAATGCTATAGATGCATATGACGCCTATTTATGCAACCATCGCAATCTCTCGTTAAGCTACCAACATTCTATCCCGTACTGGGAATCTTGCGGGGTACTCTCTCCTTCTGCTATGGCCGAGTAACAAAATTGTACATGTTTTCCTAGCGTTTGACCCTCAGCTGAATCAATGCCTAGTTCTCCATTCCATTTCAGTGCTTTATCGTTCACAATACGCACTTAAATAGCGTGCTATGCGAATTTGGACTAATAAACTTTACACTAATTATACTACTTCTTACTCGGAAGTCTTCCCGTTCTACACTACGTGGCGCTTGACCTAAAACGAGCTAGGTTGAGCCAACCTTGTTTGCACTCTCTTAGAAGACAGTGGAAGTTGTACTTAAGAAAAATAAGATAATATAGCCTAACATGCTATGTAACCTTTAGATACTATAGTTTTACTACTATTTAAATCCTTATAGTATTTTAAAATATATAGTATATATTTTTAAAAATTTATTAAAAGAGTACTTACTTTCTTACAGAGAGTATTAAAAAATCTATTATGTTTAAGTCTAACTTCTACTGTTTTCCGAGAGGCACTCTATTAAATTTCGGACGCGATAACTCGTACTCTATACCAAAACAAAAGTTGAAAAGTGCTGAGAAATACGCAAGCATACATTCTTGCTCTGGGATGCAGAGGATCGGGAAAATGGCGAGATCGACGTCATGATTTTGGTTCGAGAATGAGACAACGTTGCACTGCTGAATCTGGTGCGTCGCAGGCGCTACATTCACGTTTGCAGGTAAGGACCGGACTTTTTGCCCAACAGTTTGACATGGGACCACTGCATAACGTAGGGTTTATTTTAGCTGCCTTGTTGCCTTTCGCATAATTATACTAAGTACGTTTGCACACCATTTTTTGTTACTTCAAGACTATGTGTGTCCGTAACCAGCCAGTGTGGGTTCGGCTCATTAACGAACCAAATGGTGTCTGTGATTTATCATCAAGAGCGTCATTTCAGAACTCTAATTTAGTAGCCAAGATCGTAAACATGTAGCATCGCCTATCTGTCTAGGTTGTGCTGTCACAAGAACAAAACGTTGATCACCAAGTGCTTTAAATTTTACTTTGTGGTTGAGAATATAGTCAAGCGTAAGCGTTACGGCCCGTGCCGGGAATAAGATGAGTATTTAGCGAACATGTGTTATATTGTGTAACATAAAAGTATTGTACAGCGGAGTAACAAGGAAGCAAGGAAAAGGCCAGACATAGTAGTGATCTACAGATTCCAGAGTGGTAATGTTGAGGTGCAAATCTGCCACAGAACATGTGTCGACTAGCAACAGCGTTGAATATATGCATGTGTTGATTGTGACGTAGCTTACAACTACGGTTCGAGTTGATCAGTCAGCATCACATAATGTAATTACGTGATCTACATATAAGTATATAGCCCTTCTTCGCTATATAGGATAAAAAGGATATAGATAAGTAATATACGTATTAACGTGCATCTATTATCCTATCTTTTTAGTTTATTTCTTTATTTAGTTTTATCTCCTGCTTACTAGCCCCCTACATATATATTTTTTATACCTAACACTAATTAGTAGTTAAATAGTATTTAACTATAGATTAATAAAGGTATAAAACCTTATTAGCTAGCTATATACACCTATATAAATATCTATAAAACTATATATATAATTAAAGGTCTAACGTCACCGGCATGCGAGTCGATCAGGCATGCGAGTCGATCACTTCTTTTACTAA